CCTGGCCGCCGCTAACGGTGAAACAATATTGACTATTACTTTCTCTCCCGCGCGCGGGAAAACAAGTTCAACTTTCAACGCCGCGTTTATTTTGGCGCGCTTTCAATACCTGAGGCTACGTTCATGCCTTGAGGTGCTACAGTGAAATGATTGTCAAGTTTTTGAAGGCATGTTTTTGGATAGTAACAGTATTGTCTGGCAGCTGTAGAGGACCATTGTTGACGCGTTTGCGTGGCTAGTCACCTCCAATGCAAACACGATCAATCATTTGGCAACCAGCAACTTATTTAGTTTCGCAGGGGAAACTTGAGAGAAAAGAGTCCATTTTGTCGTTCGAAGCAGACGGTGAGATGAGCAATTCAGCTCGTCGAAGTGCCCCCAGAAATAGGGCAATACAGGTCGTCTTACCCCGCTTAGTGCCTTGTAATGAATGCTCATCAGTACATGTGTTATAACGTGTCAGATCTACTGATTAAAAACCGTTGGTTGCGAGGCGCCGGTGGAGAAGCGGATCGACTGTCATTTCGTCTACACTTGGATCGAACGCCCTAGCAATCTTTGCTTTTCTTCCCGGAACTGTTAGAAGATTCCTGTGAAGCCCAGTGCATTAAACCACGGACAAAATGCTTGCAGTATCCACTCTAGAAATTCAGAGTGGCAAGTTCATAAACTAATAGAGTTACGTGGTGCCTGGATTGTACCAGGCAACGGTGTACGTGTGTGCGTGAAGGCACTTTAACAATTATCGTCAGACTACTGGTAGAGAGCCCTTTGCAAGTCTAGCACCCAAGGGACACAGCAGCCTGTAGGCGTCCTAAAGCTGTGAAGTCTTTTCCCGTAGGGAAGACCATAAGAGCAAGTGTGTTAAAAGATCGAAAAACTCAAGGGGGACAAATTAATTACGTTGGACAATATTGGGAGGTGTCTAGATTAACACTATAGCTGTAATCAAAACCGAGAGAGACAGGTCCTCCCAATTCACTGGTATATCTATAGCTGTATCTTGAAGAAATTACTCTTTCGAGTGTTTGGCGTGCCATCACATCCCTGATCACGTTGCCAAAGTATCTGTGTTATTTCCACGTGCGAATTGACATTTTAAATTTCCCCTTTTTTTTTTGCTCTCTAGGTTCTGTCTTGGTCTGTATAGAAAGCTACACCCTGAGGGGCATGGCCAGCTATTTGGGATGCTATCCCTGGCTATGTTCGTGTTTTCCACATGCCTGAAACATGTCTCATCTTGACCATGTCAGGTCACACTACGAAAGCAATGCCAGTCGATGCCAAAGAATGAAATGACCCTCATGTCTCTAAGTGAAATCTGCACCTGTTTGTTGATCGTTAATCCGTCTGTACTGGCACATCCTCGCTAAAAACCCAATGACTAGACGTGTCATCTTCGACTGGTCTAATTTTAGTGAGTGTCTTTCAGCATATACCCCATAGACGTTTTTACGAGACTTCTTTCTTTCAAGCAGAAGCAAATCGTATCTATTATAGGATTCATGTTTGCGTGGAAATGTCAGAGGGCTAGATCAGTTAACACAAAAGAATCTGCATCATCTTAAGATGTTCAGTGTCTCCTCGTACAGAAGTCTTGGCTACACTGTGGTGTGATAATGAAAAACCCTTACAAGAACCTAGCCACATCAACTCGGAGAAAAACTTAAAGAGTTCAGAGAGTACCAGAAGTTGTCTGACCGATCTTCGCAATAGGTGATGGATCAATCAATCACTTTCAAATTCAGCTAAAGTCTACACGACTGTGTAAATGGATATCTGCACTCAAGGAATCTTAAACTGGAACTCCCAGGGTTCTGAAATCGCGATGCATAATAATGCAATCACCAGCATATAGGTATCATTATACAGAAAGTTTCCTAGACTTGTGATGAATATTTGAAGATGATGATCCCTCAGGAAATTCAATTCCTTGAGGAGCAGGTGGACACAGTGTCCAATTCTCTCCATAATCAATTGAAGGAACATACTTCTCAAATGCATTATGTAGCCAAAGACACACTTCGGTCGCTTTAATTATTTAACACATAAAGTACCATACCCGACGCTGAAACTTTGATTTATGTTTGTGAAATAAGAATGAGGCCAAGGCCAAGTAGAATTACTTGTTAAGTGTTAAGTGTTCTCCTTTGGGGAGACACTTAGGTGTCATTAGTTATACCTTTGGGAGACATGTGGCATCAGGGAGACATTTGAATGTCTCCCTAATGCCTCAGCCCCTATTGAGAGGCAACATTTTAGAGGCAACATTTTAGTAATAATACTAAAATTCGTGGGGGTGGTATCTGAATTTTGTACCTGAAAATGTGGAAATGTTCAGGGCAGAAAGATTTTCTAGCTCTTTTTGGAGAAAGAAAGTCTCTCTTCCATTTATTAAAAACCATGCAGCAAAAACTATAACTTATTCGCTCTTGACCTACAAGCACTGTTGTGGCTGTACTCAATTACGACTTCTTAAGATGGTTCCCTCTGCAAGTGTGGAATATTCTCCCATCCCGTCTTTTAAAATCCGAATAGAAACCTCCAGCACGTCTATAAATATTTTCCTGCTTGTATGTTTATATACACGCGGAGTCTACTTCACAATACCATCACTGGTGCTTCCTGCATCTCTCGGAACCGACGGGTGTGGATGTGCGCAACGCCTGCGAACCTCTTACAGCGATTGCTATCCAAGATGGTGTTTGATAACTACCTAATGCATTTTGCATCACTGTATCTCAGCCACTCACAAGTATTGTTCACTGTCTGTACACAGGTGCTCCAAATTTAGTGCCAGGTGTTCTGGTATCTGAATTAAAGATGACAAGTTATTATCATTCAATTATTCAATCGAGATAACACTCGGTTGTTTTTGAACCGATATTCCTTTCTCAGTTGTTTTTGGACCGATATTCCTTTCTCAGTTTAGTGCAACAATCTATAGAGATTTCTCAATGAACTCTTCTATTTTTAGTATCGCTGGCAAACACATAAACCATTATATTCTATTGTTAGCAACTTTATGACTTTAATGGAAACATTTCTTTGAAGGTACCGACCGAATTGAAATGAGAAGGACAAAAATAACCGGTGTTTATACAATGAAGGATACGGCCAAATGTCACGCATGAGATAAGACCGTTCAAAACACGGTGAGTAGGAGGGAAAGCGGGTGTGAGGGGACGGTTTAAGCGGGCTCCGTGCGTCTAGATGACTGTGGAGATATTCGGACTTCATACGCTAGCAACCTCCGAAGATTCTCCTACCCCCTCCTCTACAGCGAGATAATATTCCCTAACCCCCCGCCTCCCAATTATGGTGTGCGGAGGTTCTCTTGTGATGAGTTTACCTCTAGGTGAAACGCGCATGCGCAAAGAAGTGTAATTATATAAGACTTGTTTACAATCGAGCATTTGGGATCCAGGTAGCCTGCATGATAAAAGATCTCTATTGGCCATGAAACCATACATAAGCCTGTATCTGCATTCTTCTTTGTTTTCCTCCCTAATGGCTGATTGCAATTTTCTACTAAGCTGAGGGAAGGCCGCATGGATTAACTTTTTGTTGAATGTTACGGAACTTACTTACGGACAACTCACGGAAACCGGCTCACTACAGCAAAGCAACTGAGTTGGTACAACAGTCTCAGCTTGCAATGTTAAAGTGACTAAAATGTCTATGTAAACACTGCAATTGGTACCAGACATGACGATAACATGTCGCCAATGTACTCCATCATCACTGTAGCAAATCCCACTCAGATAGACGACAATGGGACATTTGTATCCAACATCAATCTTACTTTGTTTCCAGTGATAGAATGAACAAATAATTCATAACAGCTCGGCGCCAGCAATATATTTTCTATGCTACATCTCTGTTTCGGAAAAAAATGAAAGGTTTTCATCAATACAATATTTCTTTTCAGTTCGTAAAGGTTACCAGTGCGATGTCAGAAAACGAACGCACAATCTTTTTTGAGCACAGGTTTAAGCACATCGTGACGAATTAAAACCAAAAATACAAGCAAAAACAATAATTCACGCTTCATAACTTTTGTGATTAAGTATAATTTTTATCATTATCATTAATGGTATTTCCATGCGGACTCCACGAATGAATACAGTAAACAATCTAAACTTCACAAATTCTGGCAAATCTTCAAAGTTATCAACGGTTTCAGTGGGAAAGGGAACTTGACAATCATGTCTAACATCCGTTACGTTCCGTGTTGTCACTTTGCTTACTTTTGGGGGTTGAATGAAATATTAAGGCACTCAAAAATTCCAGATATTCCTACCAACTATTGGTCTTTATTGCCAGCCATACACGAGACATCTGCAAATCTCATCCCGCTAGCCAGCGTGAGAATTCTTGGCGTTGACCGTATCCATCTTGTCATCAAATGATGACAGTCGTTTATTATTGCATAAGGAGAGCATCTCAAAAGATGCCGTTACTTAGAGGGGAGAAAATCCATCACTATATGGATTACTCTGTGACTATCGTCATCCATAAAAATAACACCAGTCAACTCGATTATTTCCTTCTATTTATATGCACAAATGCAGACGATTTGGCTAATGTAATGGAATTTTGAGGCTGCGACTTTCCTCTTTTGCATTTTTCTTAATTCTCAGGATAAAAATGCAAGATCCCGTCTTGCGGTGTGGGATAACATTGAGGAAGGAAAACCGATTGTCCTTCCTCCATGAGGGTATGTACTCGGGCACCTACTATCATTAGCACGCTGGGTGTCCGTTAGCTTAATGCCTTGCTGTGATGTGGTGTCACAGTCTCGCCTTGCACTCTCGTAACATTCCACCTTATAGGACCGGCCCGTTTCTCTCCCCGGCGTACGCGTGCATGCACATATACGTACTGTAAAGTACATGGTGAACCAACCAATCCCGCTTCATCGCTTTTTTTTTTAAGCCAGCATTTACTCTCCAAAGGCTACGCATTTTTTTTCTCAGTAGCTACGTTTGCGCGTGAAGGCATGTACAGCTACCTTTACTACTTACCGACAGAGGGAGCCCTTACCCATTTGTAAACATCACCGCCCGCCTGACGCGGAGGCGAGGGTAGTACACGCGCGCAGGAAAAGGCGGCAAATTATTCCACTCCTTACTCGCTGACACGCTTAATTCGGGATCCGTCGCCCTGCCGTCCAAACAAGGAGTTACGGTAAGGAAAACAAGGCGTTTTATCGCCATTTTTGTGGACATCGAGGCATAAATTTGACCATTGCTGTATAGTGAGTTCGAGGTTTTTCGACGGCTACACGGTAAACCCGATGACTGTACCACACACAGTGGAGCAAATTTCATGAGTAAAGTACCAGCCGTTTTTGTCGGTTAAGTCTACACACAGGAACTGGTAGAGACTTGGGACAGCGGTATCACCAAAGCTGACATCATGGTAAGTTTGTATTGAATTCCTTACTTCCATTTTTTGCTATTTTTACACATTGTGCGTCTGGTATAAAACATGACAGGCATGGCGTTTGGAATGGTAAAGTTAAGCAATTAGGGTTAACAACGATTGAGAAACTATTTTCCATGACAAATGCTGAATTTATTGAAAAAAAAAAATTCCACAGACTCTAGACAACATCTGAACCATCGTCATAATTTGGTATGGATATAGGACAAGAGAGTGCACTTCGTGTATTTTCATGAACGCGCACAACTTCAACCTCAAAGCAACGTTTCGAGCACGTGCTGGTGTCATCGATACGCCAGCTTTTCCTGTACTCTTAAAATGCACTTAATACACACCCTGGTGCAGAAAACATTAACACCGATCGGCCAGCACAAAAACCGGCGGTAAATCGACTCTCCTCAGTCCACCTCTTTGAGTTGAGTGTGTGCGTGATCAAAAGCCCGAGCTAAAGGAACACCCAAAGACTTTGTTCATAAGTCCAAGTGAAACAAATTGGTTACGGCAGTTGTGAATCAATGAAGCCCGCGCACTAGATGAGCAACGCGAGACGCGTTCAAGGTACAAGTATTTTTGGAGGATGCCTTAGATTTACACGCCTGCCGTTTTGAATTTCTTCGATATTTCCGTTTCCCCTCGTGAAGTAATTTCGAATTGCGCTCAGTTAAAAAAAAAATGTCCTCCACTTTTACTCGTTATTGACATTTTCTTTTTCGTAATGAAACTGGATATTTCTCAAGTATTGGCAATTGTTGGAGAAACCAATTCCCACAATACATACCACGTATTCCCCAGATTAAAAAAAATGTCTACACTTCACTGGTAATAGCTTACAACTGAGTGTCTAATGTTGATAAAAACTACTGTGTTTACATGATTATATAACACAAACTGCATTATAATACGAAGTTAATATTCCATATGAAATCTTATAGATCAAACACAATTAAATACGACAGATGCTGGCGCAAAACGCTGAAAACCTATAAGGTTTTTCTCTTATCCAGTGATTTACAAGAATGAATAATATTTTTAACAAAATCACAAAACCAAACTTTGAATGCCATGTTTGGTATGTTTTCTTCTTTCCGTAGTACGGCTTCGTCAATCATGCCTTGGAGCTGCTTGTACTCCGCAAGTTCGGCCAGGAACAGTGGGAGGCGATTAAGTAAGTCCCGTCGACCCGTTCATATTGCATCTTCCCCCCGTCATACCAAACCCTAAGCTCCCGGTGCTGCATAGTGCAGTGACATTCGATAACCAAATCCCTCGACCGGCCGCTGGGACTTTATTCATGCTACCTTTATGCTAATTCTATATATTTAGAAGGGGTTAGATTGACACGTAGGGTATAGTTGCTATACCATTACATGCACACTGCATACCTGTAAATTATTCACTAATACGATGGCCAAATTCAGGCTTGAAGAATTTCAAAGATGAGGGGATAGGTTTTTTATGGTTTCGCATTCTTAAAACTATACCAAAATCATTCGTCTATCCTCTGTACAATGTATTGAAACTGTGCAATTACTTGAAGAACAAACAAATGATGGTGATTTGATGGATGTTCCTATAAACTAATTACGCTACAATTCCACAACTGGCTTCATGGCAGCACGGAGCGTGTGAAAACGATGTGCCCATTCCATGCTTGAAAAATGTCACCATTTTCTAAACATCTATAAATATCGGTGGTTCGTATCAAGTCCTATCGTACTAATGAGTCACCAGTAATGACCGTGTGAGGTATATGACAATCGTTCTCATATGTTTCGATCACACTGGGGACTTCTTGTGTTAGCATGTGGATAATACAGACAGTAGAACTGATAAGACCACGGATTGACCCTAACGGCAAAATTATCAGATGTATAATTTGTTTATTTAATAAAGATTCTCCATGCGTGACTAACGTACAAACTGCATCATTAAATGCACCCTATTTCGACCATTTTAGTTTAACCTTTGTCCTGTACAGCTAGAAGCCTTACTTTTCGTGGTATCTGGCAGCTTTTGCGTTTAGGATTGAATATTGACAATCCCCATGAGTTTTGGTAATCGTGTCTATGATCAACAATAATTATTCCACAACACATGCAGTGGGGAGTTTGTGTATGCGCCGTTCCCTGACGTCACTCGCGCTGTTTGAATGCGGAGGGAAGCACCGAACCATGATATGAGATTAAGGGCTCCTTTTGCCGCATCCCGTCTGAAAGTGAGAGGAAAAAATGACAGAGGACAGGAAGGCAGGTTTCTGCTTTATTAGGTCGCTGTGAGCAAGCGAATAACACACGGTCTAATAGCTGATCGCGCTTGTAGATGGCTTGACAACCAGTCGTTTTGGGTGCTTTTAATTGCACGAGGCATGTTGCCTGAAGCAACACAAGATGTATGGGCAGCCTGAGAAAGAGGGCAAATGCCCTCAAGCAAAATGCTGGCACGACTTCTAATTTTAAATTGTCCCTGACGGGGAATATTACCTTCATGTACTTGACGTCGAATATCGAAGACGGAGTTTGAATGAAATGTTATGCTCGGCTTCAACATGGCAATATTAATTTGAAACCAGCCTCAGCAAAGTTCAGTCATGACAATTATGTCTCCGAATTCATAAAAGGTCAGTGATGCATATCACAAGCACTCGGTTAATTCTTACAGAATGCATTTATGTTGATGAGATGTGTCTCCATAGTAGGCTAAGATGACCTGCCAACAAAAGATGGATATCGGAGCCTCTCTGAATGTATGTATGTCAAGCGGCTTGCTGTGTGCACTAGATATAGACTGAACACATTCCCAACAAGCTTCTATTGGGGGTGTGAAAATGTAGTCTTACATCTTCTCTAGTCACACTTCTATCTTTGCACAGCCGTTCTTGGCTGGCGGCCCTGTTCGTGCGATGAAACCCCAAGCCTCTCTCTCTTTCCTCTTTCAATAATTTGCCAATATTGTATTCCCCAGCTCTCTGACCGTTATTTCCCGATAGCGCGCTTACCCTGTTTCTCCGCTCTCCGTATCTTTATAATCTCCTCCTCCCCTCACTCACTTTACCCCTTAGTAATTTTATTTAGCGACCTGGTTCTTCCCAGAACGGGCTCTGAGCTGATTATATGTCGCTAGCATCGCCCTGGCCAGAATAACAACATTATTACAAGCAACGCAGCATGATTTCCGTTACCTTATTTCCAAAACGAGTTCTAACAGCGCAATGTACTTCTCCTCCCAAATTCTAAATGTCAAATTGAAAAACAATCACTACCAATATCCTCCGTGCAGCTCTGTTCCAGGGCTTAGACAAATAATCATCAGTGTTTCCAAGGCATGCACTGTTTTTGCAGAAGCGGGACACTGGGGTTTATCTTCTTCGGATAGAGCATGCTGGAGATTTACTCGTGGAAATTAAACACACGGACTTGTGTTGCCCAGGGCTTTACCGTCACTTAAATGTACCAGTTTCCCGGCGGTTTTTCTTCTCTTCTCTGAATCTCCCTCATCACAGGTGGGAAACAAGGCCGGCTAGGCCTGGGATCCCAATCGGAACTAGGATCACTTTTCTTTTCAATTTATGGCGTGGGACTGTCACGGAACTCAGGGAATTGAAAAGGAGACAGGAATGAATCGAAGTCCCCCAGATCGTATTCCCGCTTTAAAGATGGCCGGTGCGGCAAATCTCGCGTCAACATGAAAGGGATTTGGTAACTTGAGAGGGCAAATAACAGAAATTGGCAGGCGGTGGTTTTTAATATGGCAAATGCAAATTTTAAGATACAGTTTCAATTTTGATCTGATACATGACCTCCACGATTCAAAAACTGCATGACAGTGGCACCTGACGTACCAGTCACCAGACTGCATGAACCTACGTCATAGTTACCCATAGTGCCATTGTGTAGAATGTGAAAGTGGCAAAATCAACATGGCGGATGTCGACTACGAGTAAAAAAAACAATAATCGAACTGTCAAGAAACATTATCCACCTAAGAAGTATAAGGTCGATACACTTGAAACAAATTCTTTACTAAAACATATAAATCATGGACTTAAGCTAGCGTTAACATCACTTCCATTTCAAATTAATTAAGTTGATTCTTTGACACATTAATGTGATTCGTATGTCCATTCAAATCTCGTGCTAGACTCTGACGCTTCCGCTTCAGGCCTGCTTCAGTATTTACATGACAACTGCTTCAGAACGTACATTTTTCTCAATATGAAAAGTCATATAACATGTGAATACTATTCCGAGCGAATAATGTACGAATCTTACAGCAAATATGACTGTTTACTCTCCGACTTCGGCAGGAGGATTTTAGCTGTGTTATTTTGTTAGACATGTCTCTCGTCCCTGGGAGTCTTCTTGTACAAATATGGCCAGTCCTATTCAGCCGGTAGCCAAGTTCACTCCCGACTCCGGATCGTGACGGAGTAACGAGTCCAGTCAGTCCGGGGTTAGGATGCTACAAAAGAGCCCCTCGATGCAATCCCACGAGTTCAACTCGAGGATGTTTGGTTCCGCGGGTGCATCCGCTTGCTTGAAACACTCAAGCATCTTGCCAAGTGATGGGGTAGCGAGGAGGAATGATAAAGAACGAGCATTCGAAGACCCAGGGGGCTCGATGATTATCATCGGAGAAGTTCTGCCGAGCGATGGTCACTCGTAGAGAGAGAGAGAGAGCAGTCACCCAACAGAGTGCAAAATGTCAAACTGGTACAGCACTGTGATAGATTGGCATCTAGTACTGACCGCAAGCAGCGGATGGCTACTGCGTTATGACTCAAGTAAATTGGGGCTACTGTATATGATAACCCCACCGATACTACAAGAAGCAATGTGTCTTAATTGAAGCTGTGCACCTTATGTGCTACACGACTGATATTGTCGGCCACCCTGTCACATGGACTATTATAATCCTGTACCGAACTGAGTAGAAACATATTTTTACCCGAATATTCGTAAAACATTTACCTTGAAAATCGTGTTAAGTGATATGCCGTGCAATACTGACCAATCAGAAACGAGGAAGCTATTACTTTACAGGAGCCTAGATAATATATAAAATTCTACATCCTCCATAACCATAGCTCATAAGTTGAACAACTTCATACTCCACCTTTAACTGTATAAAAAGGTCCCGTTATACATGCACTTCTCGCCAGGATACAAGACAATGTTAATAAAAAGCCGCTTATCACTTTGTTCATAAAAGACCAGTGATTACATAAAGCGCCAGCGGCCAAAAACATCCATTTGATCACATTTTAGAACCAAGGGGCCAAATCAGCATATTCCCCAAATTGCCTATCCAGTTCCTGGACGCTCTATATAGAAATTTAATTTGGAAAATGCATTTGGTAATCATGCAGACCTGGATAGCCGTAGTGTGGACTAGACTGGCTACTAGCAAGTCGACCATTACATATACCATTCAGCGATCCTAAATTAAAACTGCAACGGTCTGTTTTTCCGCAGGCATTTCTCATTATTGCCTTGACATTTACAAATTAGGGTTTTTTATCAAACGAGTTTTCCATTCATAACACGGCCTCATAGAGAAGTAGGGGAAGACAGTAACATGTCCTTTGAAAAGAAATTAGTGATGTCGAGTTATCAGTAAAACAAACTGACAAGCAAGTCAAAAGATCTCTACTATACCTTCTGAGAGAATACTGAGGCAGCAGAAAAAAATACTAATTTGATTTGCATGTTTTTATTATTTGCGAATTCTATGGTTCCTCGCGGTCTTCCCACAGGGTAGCACATGATCAAGTTTTTCTCATAAAAAGAAGGTAAACTCTCGAGTAAGGCATCAGTTGTCACTGCCGGTGCATGAAGACCTTTTAAGGGCGTAAGTCCACGGTCCCCTCTGAGCATTTCACGTGTCTTTGTCGTTAAGACTGACCTACTTTTCCCTCCTCTGCTTTGAACTCCATGTCAGTCTCTTTTATTTTTCTTTTAAAGCAGATGGGAGGCATCAATATCTTAGAGAGGTTCTCTAAAAATAAACGCGTGCCTGTGAGAGATAAGAATTGATTCAATGGAAGGGTTATTATTTCTCTCAGGGTTTTGGCGATAATATTCGCAGAGGTTGATGCCGTCAATGTTGATTTACAATTCAGTATTGTCGGTGATGAGTTCAAGTTTGTCTTCGCTTGAACATTCAGAT